TATCTGCTTAAAGACCTTAGCTTTTTCATTTGGAATTGTTTCCGATGGAATTTATTGATGATATTAAGTTGCTTTGGCTAGATTCGAGTCGCTCGGAGGTAGATTTGCATGGCAAGGGCTTTTTGGAGTATTGATTTCTGTGTTTTGAGGTAATAACATATCTAAACTAGAATTTGAGGGTAATTAACCTTGGGAATTATGTTATTTGAGATGTATTTGGGTGATGCACGTGCTAGGTGACGGGCGTGTGTGCGTGAACCCGAGTATTCATGATTTGAGGTGGCCTTTAGACTATTGCCGGACTTGTTATTCTATCATGCCTTGTTATATCCTTGCTTTTTCCCTTCTCATTTGATTATTTGAGCTATGATACATGTTAGAAATTATGTTTAGGATATGTGCTTATTTGGTTGAGACATAACGGGCTACTCCTGCTGTTTTGAGATGTTTGCCTTAACTGTAGTCATATACTCACTCATGATTCCACATTTACACATCATATCTTAGTCTCTGTATATTGCTTGCTTAATTCATCACATATTGTTGTTTTCCACATGTGATACTGTTTAGGCTGAGTTCTATGAGGTTGTGAGCCTTGAGACTTGAGAGGTTGTTGACTGATGTGGGTCGTAGAGCCGTGTGGTAAGTGATATATGGATCGGGTTGCACAACGCAATGGGCCATATTGGCTATTGATTGATATTTGGATCGGGTTGCACGCCACAACATGCCATATTGGCTATTGATTTTATTTGGATCGGGTTGCACATCGCAACATGCCATATTAGCTTTTGATTAGCATTTGGGCAGGATCCTCCCCTCCGGATTCTCGCATGCCAGCAGTGAGCGTAGGCATAATGATGTATACATGTGCTTTTGGTAAGGGGCAGTGATGCCACGCACCCGTACAGTGCTGAGTGATTCTGTGTGTGATGAAGTGGGGAATTTGAGCCAGGCACCTTGAGTGTCCTGAGAGTGAGGGTACTTGAGGATATCACTGTGAAATTTTTAACTTTACATGTATATTTGACATGTAGGCATAAAGATGTATTTTCCTCATGCTAGCTAGTAAATGAAATGTTCTTATCCGTGTTGAGCTTTAACTATTATACTTGGAAAGCATGCCTAAATTTCTGATTTGTGAACGAGCTGAACATAATATCATTGAGTTATTTACTTATACTGTTTCCGTTATATCCTGAGCTGTTATGGGTTATTGGTATTGGTCTTTGACTGTTTCTTCTGAGCTCGTCACTGCTTTCATCCCAAGGTTAGGTTCGTTACTTATTGAGTATATGGGATCGATTGTACTCATACTACACTCTGTACTTCGTGTGCAGATCCAGGTACTTCCGGACTTGGTGATTGCTAGAGTTGTGTTGGTACCAGCTTTTGGGAGACTACGAGGTAGCTGCTATATCGTCAGCAGACCTTGAAGTCCTCTTTCATTTATTTCTGTTATTACTGTTCTATTGTTTAGACACTTGTACTGAGGATTTGGCCTTGTATTTTGATATTTAGTTGTGCTAATGTACTCGTTGACACCAGATTATTGGGATGGTTGTAGCAGTATCATCGTTGTTTTATCAAATATTTCATGATATTTCCGCTGTTGAGTTTATTAAATTCTGTTTTATTGAACTTATTGTCATTGTGGATCTGTTGGCTTGCCTCGCAAGTAGTGTTAGGCGCCGTCGCGGCTCCGATGGGAGTTAGGTCGTGACACTAATACTCAATTTAAAGTGTTTAGCAAGAGGAGTACATACAATTTTTGCATCAGTCATATTGAACCTATTAAGTACCTTCTCAATGTATTTCTTTTGAGACAAAAATAACTCCTTTCTATCTCTGTGTCGGTGGATTTGAATGCCCAAGATTTTCCTTGTTGGCCCCAAAACATTCATCACAAGCGATTTGCTCAACTGCTTCTTAAGGATTGCTACTCTGGTTTTATTCTCGCCAACAATAAGCATATCATCCATGATATTCAGCATAAAGTATGTATATTTATATGCATATTGTCGCATATTTTACTCATGTTTCGTGGATTTTTAGATGTGGAATGTAATGATTTATTCTAATTCGTAGTATTTTTTTTGTAGGAATCACCCGGATACAATGTGGGACAAAAGTGCACGAGTTGAAGCAAAAGGGAGCAAAAGAAAAAAATGGGCCATTGTAGCGCCCTGGGTAGTTCATCACGCTACCTGTAGTGTAGTTTACAAACTTGAAATTTTTGGCCAACAGACCAGCGCTAGGGCTAGCGCGATGTGCTACCCTGGATGCTGGGTGATGGGATTATTTTACCACTTTGCTTCGGACAAGGTTTTTCGGTCTTACACACCCCCAACTAGTATAAAAAGAAGTCTAAACCTATTTTGGTGGGGGAGACGCCACTTTGAGAGGAAAACACACACACGAAACACTCGGGAGCAAGGATTCTCAATTTTTCTTCATCTTTCTTAGTATTTTCAACTATTCAAACACTTATGAAATTGTTTAACTTTATCATGAGTGGCTAAAACCCATAAGTTCTGGGGTTGTGATTTAGCCATGAATATTGTTGTTTGAAGTTGACTTGACCTTGATTATAATTTGCTAATATATGATTGTTTCTTCAATTATATGGTTAATTGTTTAATTGTCTGGCCAACAGGTAGGTTCTATTTACCATCTATGCTATGTTTGGGAAAGCTATGTCTGGATTAGAGAAGAATTGAAGAGGGCTTGATCTTAACTCTGAGTGGGGGGCGGATTTGTTGTTAGGATAAGAATATACCTAGTCACTATGCTTAATTGAATATCATAATTTTAATGCGTTCTTAATAGATTGATTCCATAGGAATATAGGCACTAATCTATTTTGAATAGGCGAGTAGTAGTTCGGGAGAATACTACGAGAGCAATTACTTGATTAATTAGCAACCATGAGTGAATCGTATGAAAGAGAGAGTTATTTAGAACGCAATAGGATTGGTAAATCGATCACAACCCTGTAATTTTCATCTCTACTAAATTCTCAACAACCATTTCCTGCTAGAATAATAGTTACTTGTTACATTCATTGCTTATCACACCATTAAACTCTAACTAACTCGACTGAATAACAATTAGTAAAATTGGTAGGTAGTTAACATAAGTCTCTGTGGGTTCGACACTCTACTTATCATTATATTACTTCTACGACGACGTATACTTGCGTGTATGTTTGGGAGTAACAAGTTCTTGGCGCCGTTGCCGGGGACTTGAATTAACTACTTTACTAGCTTTTACTTTTGTTGCCTATTTCGTTGAGTCTAACATTTTTCATTGGTTGCTCTGCTTTCAGGAACTTTGTTTGAATGCGAAGGGTCAGGAGCCAAGATAGACTTCAAGGCTTTGACCCAGAACCTGAGAGAACATTTCACAGGAGGTTGAGAGAGGCAAGGGACACAGATAATCTTCATGCACTTGTTCAATTACATGTGGACATGGCAGACGAGCAACATATGTTTGTTCAGGAGGTGGTGATGCCTAGCATTGCTAATGTCACCTCCAGCATTGTGAAGCCCAGAATCACTGGGCACTTTGAGCTAAAACAGAGCATGATCCAGTTGCTACATACAAACAGGCAGTTTATGGGTCTTCCACATGAGGATCCACAGTAACACATTCTGAACTTGTTGGAGATTCGTGATACTTATATCACTAATGGAGTTACTCCAGACTATGTGACTATTCCCGTTCTCTCTGTTGGGCGAAGAAAAAAGGTGGTTGAAGGCGGAACATGCTAACTCTATTACATCATGGAATGATCTGGCTAGAAAAGTTTTGGCATGGTTCTTCCCTTCACGCAAAACTGCAAAAATCAGAAGTGAGATAGTAGCCTTCAAACAGAAGTCGGGTGAGTCTTTATATTCAGCTTGGGAGAGGTTCAAGGGGCTGCTTAGAGATTGTCCTCATTACAATCAGACTAATGAAGTGTTGGCTCACACCTTCATAGAAGGGCTACACCCAGAGACCAAATTGTGGTAGATGCTGCAGCGGGAGGTCAAGTGTTGGAAAATAACTTTGTTGAAATTTATGCATTATTTGACAAATTCTCCAAAAGTAATCCTGACTGGCAAAGAGAGATGGGCACACACACATTTCAAAAATCTACAGGGGTCGTCGAGTTGTTATTTCTACATTATCAGCGTAGGTTGCCACATTGGCCAACCAAGTCTTATGATAACCTTGGTTATTAATAAGTAGTAAGCTCAGCTAGTGCAGTAGGTTCAAATATTTTGTGAAGTATGTGGAGAGGGTCACACGAGCAATCTATGCCCAGAAATCCAAAATCTATATATTTTATGGGTAATGCAAATCGAGGCCAGGCAACTCAGTATGGGAACACTTACAATCCTATATGGAGGAACCACCCAAATGTTTCTTGGTGTGGAAATTAAGGTGCTCAGAATTAGTAGAGGCAACAAGCTCCTCAACAACAATATAGACCACCACAAGCTGATTAGTCCGCAAATCCGATGGGTAATATTGAGGAGATGCTCAAGAACATTATGGGTGATAATCAGAATCAAGCTACTACTATTCGAAATTTGGAGCAACAAATAGGACAACTTGCTAGCACCCAAAATATTCGGCCATCTGGGGCCCTTCCTAGTGATACTGAGCCTAACCCTAAGGCTCAAGTCAATGCGGTTACCTTGAGAAATGAAAGAGTATTAGAAGAAGTTCCAAGGAAAAAGAAGTATACAGTTAGGCGTGAAGGAGAATTGGTTCCTAAGCTAGTTGAGGAGACTGAGAAAGAGAGCGAAAGATCAGAGCCAGTAATTGTTACAAGGCCACCACCTCCATTTCCACAAAGACTACAGAAGAAAAAAGTTGATGCTAAGTATGAGAATTTCTTAGATATTCTGAGCCAAGTGCGTGTGAGATTGCCTTTGGTTGAAATTTTGTAGGAAGTGCTTAAGTATGCAAGGTATCTCAAAGATATTATAGCAAACAAGTGAAGACATACAATGTTTGAATTAGTTTCACTTACTGAAGAGTGCAGTGCTAGAGTTCAGATTAAACTTCCTCCTAAGGTGAAGGATCCTAGGAGTTTCACAATTCCCCTGTCTATTGGGAAAAAAGAAGTTGGTAGAGCCCTGTGTGATTTAGGGGCTAGCATAAATTTGATGCCATCATTTTTTTGCAAACAACTAGGATTGGGGGTCCTTAGACCGACTACAATCACTTTATATTTGGTAGATAGGTCACTAGTGATGCCAGAAGGAATTATTGAGGATGTGTTAGTTCGAGTGGGAAAGTTTATTCTTCCTGTTGATTTTATTGTTCTTGATTACGAGGTAGATGAGGAAGTGCCCATTATTTTGGGGCGACCATTCTTAGCTACTGGTGGAGCGATTATTGATGTGAGGGAAGGGAAGTTGAAGATGAGAGTTGATGATGAGGAAATCACTTTTAATGTGTATATGGCACTTAAGCTCCCTATGCATTATGACCACTTGTGCATGATTAGTGTGGAGGAATCAAAGGGGATAAAGCAGAGCCCTTATGTGAACTGTAGTGATCCAGATGGGAAACTGAGTTAGATGAGGTGATGTTGCAAGCTGAGTGTGAAAAGATGACTGAGAAAAGAGCCAGAGATGAAAGAGGAGACCTTCCTAGAGCGTGCAAAAATGCTAGACTTCATGGGAGAAAGATGAAGCGAAAGCGCCCAGCCTAAGCAGAATAGTAGAATCGTGCCACGATAATAAATAAGGCGCTTGTTGGGAGATAACTCAATATTTTATTTATTTATTTATTTATTTATTTATTTTAGTGTTACGTTTTGTTTGTTTTTATTTTGCAGATTAGGGAAAGTCTGAGTACCCGAAGTTGAAGCTGAGGAGAATATTTGAGCTTAAGTGTGGGGTCGTCCCGACCCTTAATATTGAGTATTACATGATATCTAAGCCCTAGAGGGTGTCAGGGAGTATTTCTCATCCTTGTGTTAATATTTTTCTCTGTGATCATGCATCGAGGACTGTGCATGTAATAAGTGTGGGGTATGGGACTTACTTTCTGAGTGTGATTATATAAAAAATAATTTCTCATATTTTTTATATAACCCGTAGATAATAGTAGTCTAGTTTAGAGTAGTAGACTATTCTTCAAAAAAACGAAAATATAGAAAAATCAAAAAAAAAATCAGAAAAAGCTCGGACTTTTTCTGATGATTGATCTCTTGGAAAGCTTTCTTGAGGGATTAAGGTCCGATTAAAAATACCAAAAAGATTTTATTTTGCTTTTATTAGGATAGCTAGGTAGTGATTCCCTTGGTATTTCTTTGGGCGCTGGTTCTTTTCCAAGGGTGTAGCTTGAACTGGGTATTTTGGCTTTATCTTTTAGGAGAAGGATAGGAAGAAAACTGAGTTGCTCTAGATACTTGTTGACATGTTTGATGCTAGAATATTTATGCTGAGGCATGTGAATCACCTTCCCGACATGTTTTGAACTGTATGATGCCTTAAAGAATTGAATAGCCTGTTCTATGACGCCTTTTTCTAAGCTTCTTGACTTGTTTGTTCTTCTAGTGCTTATTGCTTAATACTTCTTGGTTATGTTCTACTTTCTTTGACTTGAGAGTTGGAATGAAGCTGTCCTAAATGAGTCATGTGTAATTTGTGTGAGAGGTTTGAAGTTGTATTTTGTGCTATCCTGAGTTAGTCTAGAACTTGCCCCGTGTGTGTGTCTGACGAAGCGAAATAAATAAGTCAAGTTGAGTCTAGGAGAAGATTTAGGCATTTCTTTGATTATCCCATTGAGCCTTAATTTGCATACCGTGATTACATCATCCCTAGTTAGCCCTGTTGAGCATGTAAACCTTTTCTTTGGCACCCACATTACAAGTCTATATCCGTTTTTGTTCTTAATTGATATAGTTTTGATCCGCTACCTCTTAAACCACTTAATTGAAATTGAGAGTTAGAAGGGTAAGGAGAAAATGAGGGGTATCTTTTAAGTGAAACTAGAGAAAGGAAGAAAGGTGCACTTGTGCAAACAAAGAACCACTAGCAGAAATTGTAAGTAGTGGGCGAGTGTTTAAAAACAAATTATTACAAAGAGAGAGAAAAAAGAGAAAAAAATTAAAATAAGTGGAAAAAAACAACACATCTCCCAAGTATATTTTCTTATCGCTAGTGAGTTTTCAATATTGAGGTGCTTAAAGAAATAAGGGTTGCCTTGAATACGAAGACTTGGTTATGATAAAGTGCGCTCAAGTTGATTGTTGTATTGTATTAAAGTGCTTAGGAGGGTTAGTCACTATTACTCAAATGTATCATACCCCGTCCCTTAGCCTACATTACAACCCATAAAGTCCTAATTGATCCTAGATTAAGCAGGCTTAGATTAGTCGAGTCCTGCACTATGGGCAAGCCTATGGTACGACCTTGAGAAGCTCATGAATTTCTTTTTGAGAGCGAGTGAATTCTTGTTCTTATGTGTGAGTTCTTAATTACATTTGATCTTTTGAATAGAATATGTGGACTATTTCTTCTCTTGTTTATTAGTGAGGGCACATGATCTCATGATGGATAGGTGGATTTATTAAACTTCTCTTGTAGGGGTGAGTGTGCTAACTAAGAATACTTAGTGATAACGAGTCGGCCTTTAAGGTGAGGTGGTTACGGGCAAGTTGTTTGAATGCTTTGAGATGGTTTACTTATTCTTTGGAATGTAAAGATTGGGAAGTGTGTGAATTTTGTATGCCTATGCTTAATTGTTGATATCAACCATAGTCAGAGGAATAGTGTGCATAATGGTCATATGCTCCCTCATGATGTGGTATTTTGAGTTGTGTATTCTTAAGGTAGTAAAGTTTAGGTTGCTCGAGGACAAGCAAGAGTCTAAGTATCGGGTGTTGATGTTCGGTCAAAAGTATGTATTTTTGTATATGAATCGCCTCACATTTTGCTATGTGTAATTGCGATGAGTTAAGCTAATTCTTTGTGTTTATAGGTGTAGGAATCAATTGGGAGTAAAATAGATTGAATGCGCATGAGTTGGAGCTAAAAAATATGAAAACTAGACAAGTGCCGAATTTTAGTGTCCAGGGTAGTGCGACACGCTACTTGTGGTGCTAGAAATAGAAGCCCAAAATTTTAAGCGTCCAGGCTAGCGCGATGCGCTGCCTAGGGCGCCCAATCTTCGGAATTGTCCTATTTCGACTTGGAGAAGATCTTTTTGGGTCCTAGACGCCCCTAACTTGTATAAAAAGGGGTTATAAACATAATTTGTAGGGGATCTAACATTTTTTGGGAGGAGAACACGCCACTTTGGAGGAGAGAACCCAAACCACGCTTGGAGGAGGCTTCCAACTAATTTTTATTCTCTTCTCTTCCTTTAATCTCATAGTTTATTAGTTCTAGAGTTGTGGGTGCTACATGAACGTTATGGTTTAAAGCTTGAATTGTTCTTATTAATTTTTTATATTGGTTTATTTATTCAATCTTGCGCTTAATTATTTGATTGTTTGATCACCAATTAAATACTATCTATGAATCTAGGATTGAACTCGGGAGAGGAAATTTTAGATTGTATATAGGATTGAGTAGAGCAAGATCTTGAACCCGAATTACGGGGTACGGATTTGCTGTTAGGATAGGGATATACCTAATCGCCTTGCTTGGTTACTATACAAGAATTATTAATCCATTCTTGTTAATCCTAATTCCATAGGAATATAGGCGTTATGTTAACTTGAATAGACGAGTAGTACTTCGGGAGAATACTACGAGTAATATTAACCTAGTCAATCAATAAACCAAATAAATTAATTAGACAATCTAAGTGGAAGACTCAACGAGATTGTTAGCTAACCCATAGATCTGGAATATTTTCTCCCATTGAATTCACATCTAAGCTTGCCGACTTGTTTGCTTTAATTTCTTAGTTTTCGACTCTAGATTAGTTATAGTTATTAATCTTTAGAAAATCACTTGAATAGATTAATTGTCTTAGTTTAATTTAGTAAATAGTTAATCACAAGTCCCTATGTGTACGATATCTGGACTTACAATCCTATATTACTTGTACGCCCACATACTTACGTGTGCGTTTTGGCAGTAATAATCCACATAAAGTAAAAGATAATAAAATCATCATCAGAGAACTTCTGGAAGGATACACAGTGATCTGAAGAAGTTTTCTTGTACCTTTATTGTCACAACCCAGAATTCCAACTTCGGGGTCGTGATGACGCCTAACATCCACTTGCTAGGAAAGCCGACGTGAAATGATTAAATAACCAATTTTAACATTTAAAAACACAATGGTGGTATACAACGAGAAATACAAACCCAGTCTAACACTATAGTGATATAAATCACGTGATAATATCTACTTCCAAAAATCCGGAGTCACGAGTACACGAGTAACTAGAAGTCTACAAACAAAGTCTGAAATAAATACAACTATTTAGAAAGAAATAAATAGTAAAAGTGGGAAAAGGAAGGGGACTTTAAGGTATGTGGACGCTAGCAGATCTACCTCGAGTCTCCGTATGCAATGATCCGAGCTAACAAACCTCACGCACCGCTAGGACCAATACCAGTATCTGCACAAGAAGTGCAGAAGTGTAATATGAATATAACCGACCCAATGTACTCCATAAGTGTCGAGCCTAACCTCGACGAGGTAGTGACGAGGCTATGACAAGACACCGGCGTAATTAAACCTGTATAAGTGTATATAAAGAAACAATAATAACAGAAAATGATAACGTACAAACTGGGAGGGGACATGCGAAAGGGGGAAAATATAACATCTACGACAGGTATGAAATCACAAAATGACCAGTTAAATCATCAATACCGATAAAATCAATCAAAGCAATGATATGAAAATGGAACGATATCACCTTTCGTGCTTTTACTCTCGTCCTCACCATGCAATAATATGAATATAATGGCATGGAATCATCCTTCATGTTTTTACTCTCATCCTCACCATGTAGTAATAATAATGAATGAAATGGCACGGCATCACCCTTCGTGCTTTTACTCTCTTCCTCACCATGTAATAATGATAATGTAAATGGAATGGCTCGACATAACCCTTCGTGCTTTTACTCTCTTCCTCATCATGTAATAATGATAATGTAAATGAAATGGCACGACATCACCCTTCGTGCTTTTACTCTCTTCCTCACAATATAATAATGATATGAATATGAATTCGAGTAATAAATAATGTAGAGAGTAAATTTAATGTCTAATATGGTGGCGTGATACCAAACTTCAACTTTCAAAAATATTCAACTATGAAATAAGCAATAATTATGAAACGAATAATCAAAGAAGTAATGATCTAACCTAAGCATGGATATCAGGATTAACAAAGCAATAAAATGCAAAGAAACAAGTTCCACCCGCATTCTTTAACCCAGTAACAATGTATAAGTACTCCTCACCTCACATATACGTTGTTCCCATACATAAAACACAAAGCAAATAGACTAACAAGTCCTAATCCCTCAAGTCAAGGTTAACCATGACACTTACATCGCCCCGCAATCAAATCAAAGCTCAACCGGGTCTTTGCCTCTAGA